TTTTTTCTCTTGCTTATGTTGTCTTTTCCCGCTTATTTTGCGCGGCGTGTTGCTTTTTTTCTCTCGCTTGTGTTGTCTTTTTTTATATTTTTTTTTCTCACTTGTTTCTTGTCTTGGGATTTCAAAAATTTGGTAAATGAAATTGTGGTTCTGTTTTCTTCAAGAAAGAAATAGAAACAACTTCAAAAAAAGAGAGACGAGGTTGGTAAATAAAGCAAGATAAAGATATCAATCATCGCCAGCTTCACTTTTGTCTTCACCAGATTCGTCCTCGTCTGTGCCGGAATCATCGTCTTTGTCTTCATCTTCGCCATCAATCTCGATCACTTCCTTATCTTTTCTCTGTTTTTCTTCTTTCTCTTTTCGCTCCTTTTCCTTCTTCTCTTTTTCCTCCTTTTCTTTTTTATCTTTTTCCTCCTTCTGCTTTTTTTCTTTTTCCTCCCTCTCCTTCTCTTACTGTAGCTCGCGAGCAATAATTGCTCTTCGTTTCTTCTGGTAGTATGCACGACTTTCATCATCCATTGTGTTGAGATTAGCAGACATGATTGCGTTGTCTGAGGTTGATTGTAAAGCCGATTTCATTGAAGCCAACCTATCACGCGAGATCTGGACCAGTTCTTTTTGCATGCCGACAATCTTCTCAATCGCACACTCCTCCGCTTGTTTACGTTTGGCCGCTTTCTGACCTCCAATACGAACATTTCCCAGCGCCAACCGACTGTTTTCAGAGTCTTCATCCTCTACCTTGATGACCGCAGGGCTGGAAACAGCTGGGGTGGAGGCAGGTGGATCAGAGGAGGGTGCTGAAGCGGTCAAAGGTACATCCTTGGCCTTCTTCCCAGATGTAAGTATATCAAGAGCAAGCATACAGAACATATTAATCATAGAAAACTTACAATGTCTTTGCGAGTTTTCCCACTTTTCAAGCGACGTTCAACATTTGAATAGCAACCAGAGAACCTATTGACTGTCTTGAGTATAAGACCCCAACGACATTCAA